GCTTACTACGTTACTACGCGTTTGTGGTATATTTATCACACGCTAGCCAATAATCCAAATCTCAAGGTACGTTTTACTTTCGAGCATTGAAAATTATCTGCTACACGAAAAATATAATTTATTTAAAAATTAATATAAAATTTTAGTAATATTATTAATATTATAATTGCAAATAAACATAATATTTGATGTAATAATAAACTTTAGTAAACTATTCTATGTGAAATGTTCATAACATTTACATTATAATTTATATATCATTAATGTATAAGATAATGAAATTTTTGCAGCAATACGGACCAAACAATTTTTTGGCCCGGCTCTGGTGGTTCTCTATTTTCAAGTATTTTGAGAAGAATGTAGGCGGAACAGTGCCACGACAATATGACTGGCCTCTACCCTGGCCTCGACGGTTTCTTGCCAAGCACCCTAACCGGGATAGTTAATACTTGTCTTGATTTTATGATAGAGGCTGTTAAAAACAAAGAAGTTACTTTTGTTGTATATATTTTACACAATACATTTACACACACACACACACACACACACACACACACTCCACGCATACATTCGCACGTATTCACAAATGTATATACAAATCGAGGCTTATTAACGTGGAATTCACTAAAGAATATGCATGGAACGTACGATTGTTTTCAAAGTTTCCGCACATTCATTGTTAAAGCATGAATTTTGTGTCGTTTACTTCTTTATAATCCAGTTGTGAACTCTATATAGACACAATACCCGTGCTCTTTCACGTAAAGTTATCGTCCAGTTAGCCCGAATTTACTTTTGCTTGATTTTTATACAATTTATACACAGTATAAAGAATAGATGTAGAGAGATAGATTTTATGATCTAATATCATAAAGGTTCGAATAGAGGAAGGTATTCGAGTTAATGAGACACATATGATTGGCTTATAGCGTTTATATTTTCAAATAGTTACAAATTGAAAGTAATATAATAAATAAGTAAATATAGGATAAATGTTTTTAAAAACTCGAGCGATATTATGCAATAAGGAGTATTTGTAAACTTTAAAGGGCTATTGTAGATAAATATTAGGACAAAATCTAAATCCTTCCTCTAAACGAATCTTTGACGGTACATGCTCGACTTGAGTCGACGTCTCGATCTTCCAATGTCTAGACGTCGTCGTCCTTGACTTTGCATTCGCGATACGAATTATTCCGATGAAAAACGATTTTGCAAACGAATTTGCCAAAAATGTATTGTGACTCGCATGATGTGTATGCTCTAATTAAAGTTCTATATTACCGCTAATCTTCGAAATTATTTCCTTCGTGCTTTGGAAAGAAATACCGAGTATCCAATACTAGAAGTGATTGTGCAATTTCGTGGGATCAAAATAGGAACGCTCAAGTGGATATTAATTCATATAATGTTGACAAACTAAACACCGAGCTATGAGAAGACATCTCCATTATAGATATAAAGTTGATAAAAAGTTTTAATAATATTATTAAGGATTTCGTAACTTTGATTAAATTACATAATATATGATCCATCACAAACGGAATTCGCATTTCTTGCCTGCTATATGTACAAATTGTAGATATACGAATCTATAATAACAATAACTTGTACAATAACTTGTAGCAGATAAAAAATCCAAATTTCATTTGTGATGGGCTATACATTATATTATTTAATCAAAATTATAAAATTCCTTAATAATATTTTTAAATTTTTACATGAACACACACACACACACACACACACACACACACACACACACAGAGCCTGCCCCAGATTTGGATAAGTTTATTTGTAGCATATCTTGGACATTGAATTTATAGAAGATATATTATTCGTTCTTCTAGCTTCCATTAGTCGATACGCGAAAGTATCATTTATAGAATAATAAGAAAAATACGAAACAAAAAGAGGAAAGTACTGAAGCATTCGTGTTTTCACGGAATAAGGTCATTATACGCTTGTGCATACACCGGATGTTGTCATACATACATATACATGTTGCATAGGCAATGTAACAAATTATGCAAAATGTGAAAGATAATTTTGCATTCGTGGAGAGATCGAGTGACAAAAAAAAACGAATAATCATCGATTTTTCATACGATATCTTCTTCCTTCGTTCTTCTCGCATTTCATTGTTTCAACGACTTCTTGCCCAACTCTTTTTCTCATTTGATGAAGATGAGTAACATAATTTAATGTCGATGAAAATGCCGCGATTCTTCAAACATTTGTATAAACAATTATGAATCTCATCTAACAATGTACAAGTAATGTGGTAACAAATCGCGTGACTACGCGTTTTCCTAGCATCCGATGAAAGTTGTATGTATACTATATGTATGTTATAAAAGTGCTGAGTAACATTTAATTATAGTTTAAATTGCGTCAAAGGTGATTTGTTATCTTATTTACCTGTGATTCATTGATTGAATCTCTATAAGTGCGAAACGCATTCACAATTCTTTACCATTTTTAATTAAATTTTTGTTGT